TTTTCTTTTGCACGGGTATCAACCTCGCCTCCCGAGAGAACTTCACATCGGAACTATAACATCGGACGACTCCCGTGAGGATCAACTCGACATTTTGCACGCTGCACGGACCGATGCTACCACGAACCTCCTACAGTCTCACCAAGCAAGCAAGCGACGCTTTGACCTGCATCGCAGTGACCACAAGTTCAATCCCGGAGACTTGGTACTGTACAGCTGGCCGCAAGCCAGTGATCACAAACTAACACCGCCCTTTAAAGGTCCATTCGAAGTCATCCGCCCTGTTGGTACAGTGTGCTACCGTATCCGAAGAGTTGGCAGTACAGATGACAAGATCGTCCACGTCCAGACCTTGAAGCACTTCGAAGACCGACCTCAGCTGAACCTGGCCCCGGACATATTCACGGAGCAAGAGGAAACACCGCCCCTCCCAACCGAAGTGAGCCGCCCAAGACGTGCTACAAGACGTCCACGTCACCTTGGGGACTATGACACTGATTTTTGAAGAAAAAAAAAGAAGCTCGCAACGTCTTAAGGGCCATGTGCCAGTGTTTTTGTGCTAATTAGCCGTTTTCTCGCTTTTTTTTAAGGGCCATATGTGAGCAAGTGTCGCCATCTATCGTTGCATAGAACAAATATTTATACTACTGCCACCTGTTGTACATTTTGATAAATAAATAGTTGTTATACCCAACAGAGATACCTCATTGGTTAAAGTTCATGTGACATGCTGTCTCCATGCATCGCTCGTATTCATAATGATATTCCTGACTCGAAGAAATTCTTTCGTCCAGCGAAATATTTCTTCGCGCACACAGATTGTACAAGTCGTTCAAGAGCATAAGAGCATGAATAAAAGCATCAGATGCTCGCCTTACAACCACTGCATCTGTATTATTGTTCTCGCTACAGTGCTAATATAAAACTCAGGAAGGAAAGTCTAACATGCCATTCATTGTGCTTCTTCAATTACCGCTGTGAGCGGAGACATATCTTTATGGGCTTTTAGCAAACCGTTACCGTGTTCCGCGTACCGCGCTACAAGGGCCTTTAAAGCATGCTTTTAAGCGCGCGCCCGGATGATACCACGACCTCGGGGCGCGCGCTTAAAAGCATGCTTTAAAGACTCCGGTACTGCGGTAAGCGGAAAACAGTAACGGTTTGCTAAAAGTCCACATTTTCTCAAATAGCTTACCGGCGCAATTTAAAATTTCGGGGAGGAGTGAATCTAGACTCAATGGCCATTTCCTTGGTTTTAGGAGATGAACTTCTTCAACTAACTTCCATAATTTGTTTTTTTTTACACTTTATTGTATGTTTTAGGAAAGTGGGTACGACGCCATGGTTTACAAGTGCATCGCCGGTTCCTTTATCGTCGATAAACTTCTGAGAAGTGCGCAGATTATGACTCGGGCACGTGCATTTGGCCGGTAGATCGATGTACTGCCCAATGTTTATTTGCGTGCTTGTTTTTACAGCGTTTTTGGCACTGTATGCATCAGATAGTGTCTCCGTTCTGGTACGAATACCCAGGCGCCCTACTAAGGCCTAGTACTGCGAAAACAACGAACATTGCTCGCAATCATGCGGATACTTTAACTATAAACTTTTTGGCAACCTTTTTGCACCTTTAACTTCATCGTCTTACCCCAAAACGAACATATTTACGACTATGCAGTGGTGCGGAAGATTGCTTGCCTCACGTAAAACGCCGATTATCTTGTGTCTCAGATAAAGGTTTAGACACCCGGGAAACACGTCGGCTTTAAAATGCCGCACATTCATATATATATATATATATATATATATAAACGGGCAGTGGCGGTACGACTTCAGACACGATGTTTCCAGCGTACCGAGTGTCTAAAAAAAGATTAAGATTTTTTTTTGTCACAAGCATAAGCTAAGCATTTCCGAAATTCCGCAAACTGCCAGAATGAAAACTATTAGTGATTGGGGAAGATAGCAAGATTGCAAAACTTCCCAGTTGCCTAATTCAAAAGTTATAACCGTTTTGAAAACTTTTCAATGAGAAAGCGTGGCTGTTTCCGCCAGGCAGCAGACGCTATTAATTTCCATCTATTCACGAACTCCGCTGACCACCATTCCATTATTGAGCATTTCCGAAACTCCCTCAAACTCTCCCTCCAGACTACGCCAAATCCTAAGAATTCGGCACTTTATCCCAAGAAGATGAACGTTCAACGATGTGTAGTTTATATTTACGATGCGGAAATCCCATACATCCGTTATGGTGTGCCGTAGCAATTATAACTCCCGTTCAGGTCGAAACCAGGAAAAGGGGAAAACTTCCGCATCCCCGTAAACTCAGGCAGTGCTGCACGGTGCTGCATGTAACCGTAGATAGCTAACTTCAATACCCCTCCGTCTGTTTATTAACGCCCCGTTGGAATCTATTCCGCCCTCCAATTATTATTCCGCCTCCAGCTGCTAGTTTGGCCATTTTCTCCCGTAGCGCAATAAAAACGCCGGTTGTGTTTATTCCTTAACCAGAAAGTTCTGCAGTATTGTGCTTATCGATCGCGAAAATTAAACCGCATTGAAACGTGTTTTTTTTTTTTCCCCTTAGTTTCTCTTTTTGTGTGTGTGTGTGGGGGGCGGGGGGGGGGGGGGGGGGGGGAGGGGGCTGGATTTCGTTTACTTTGCCTGCACACAAGAGTGATCGGAATTGAATATATGATATTATTATTAATATTGTTGTTATGTTTGTGTTTCGTTGTTGTTGTTGTTGTTGTTATTGTCTCGACAGATCGTAAATTAAACGCAGCAGCCCCAGATTTAAAATTGGAAGCCGTTTGCTTGTTTTCCCGTCGATACGCATTTCCCTAGGCGCAGGGGAAGAGGGATTGAGTGGAGGAAAACAATAAAAAGGGCAAAACTCATTCATTCTTCCCTTTAATCTCGTTCCCCAAATGAACTCGTTAATTTTGAGGAGATGCTCCTTTTGGAGTTCACCATGGCTTCCAAGCGCCGAATTGAAAGCGTGCCAATCCCCTCGGCGTTTCATTAGTGGTGCACACGGATGCTGCGAGCATCGAACCAGTCCGAAGGATGATGTGTTTCGTCCCATCGCACGGCACGTGTGTACACACGTTTGCGTGGCACGGATTTGCAAAAAAAAAAAAAAAGCGGTGAACTCGACGAGGACACTATCACGTCCGCCGGAAGGTTGCTCTGGGATGGTATTGATTTCCTAGTACGACAGTTGAAGTAATCCAGGATTGGAGCAAATTGTATGCGTGCCGGGGATTACCGCGATCGCCGAAAGGCACACATGTTCAATTCAGCGGTTGCACTCATCACACTGGTAGGAGTATAATTAGAGATGTTCGTCGATGATGTGTCTCGTCATCATAGCAGCCTGCATGAAACATGTACATTGAATGCCCGAGATTTTTTTACCTTATTAGGTGCTTATTCTTTCAGCCAAACTACTTGTGATGTAAACGGTGCAATAAATAAAAAAATCAATCCTTTGTTGTTATTGTTTTTTTGTAATCTTGAAATTAAAATAAAATGCATCGTTAATAAAATTCGTAGGCATTTCTTCGTGCCCGAATGGCGTGGCTCTTGCCTCTGAAGGTATCCCCAGCAGTCAGTCACTAAGCGTTTAATTTGTGAACACATCATGGCTGCTTGAAATATTATATCTAGCCTTTCTTGAGCCATGCACCAAGCAATTGAAACGGCAGAAAGTGGTACGTACAGTTCGAAGTCGGAGGCACATCACTTCACAACCTTTCTTTTAATAAAGCATGTACCGTGCGCAACGCACGGTACATGCTTTTTTCTGAAATCACCCACATTATTTTTTAGACCCATGTTGTTACAAAAAAAAAAACAAAAAAAAAAAAACTTTCTCCAGACTCCGGTTTAAAAACATGCTTTTCGTGTAAGGCTTGTCAAATTATGAGGCGCTGGAGAAAGCCAGCCTTCTGCGCTGTGTCCTTATTTCGAACTATTTTTGTTCGCTTTCCGCCCATTGAAAAAGTATGAGGAAAGGGCCTCAGCACGCACCTCGTATCGCTACGCCGCAGCGTTCTTCCGCATCATAAAGGCCGTCTGCATTCATCGCCGTCACCATAGTATCAAAAGCCAATTTTCCGAACGCCATCTCCAAGCCAAAGTTTAATAGTTTTGTATTGTGCAGCCACAGACTGTCGTTGCGAAGCGGCGTTAACGCAGGCCGGGGGAGAGGGGGGGGGGGGGGGGGGGGGTTTAACACGCGCCCTAGTGACACACACGCCGTCCGAAAAGGTCATTCGGCGTTCGTTGCCATGGTGACGGCGATTAAAGCAGATGGCCTTTTTGCTGCGGAAGAACACTGTGGCGCAGCGAGACGAGGTACCTGCTGAAGCGCTTACCGCATGCTTTTTAATGGGAAGAACGCGAGCAAAATGAGTTCAAAATAAGGATTTAACACAGAAGGCTGGTTTTCTCCAGCGCCTCATAATTTGACGAGCTTTACACGAAAGGCGTGTTTTTATAACCCTCCCGCACACTTTTTTTTTTTTATGCGTAACGTGGGTCTAAATCATCAAACTGCCGTCAATTATTTGGTCTGCTGTATAGTGTTGACATCCTGACTCTACCTATTTCATGAGCGGTTCATTAAAAGCGTCAAATCAAGCCATCAGGTTTGCCCGCAAGCCCGCTGATGGGCCCATCGGTGGCCGAATGCGTTGACGTACTACAGCTTGGAGCACAGGGAGCGAAAGCTCGCACTGCAAAGACCCAAGAATCCCGGATTCAATTCCCTCCCCAGCCCGCCTTGATTCGGATGATCATCGTACCGGCTTGCGGCCACGTATCACTAGTGCGCGAAGCACGTCAAAAGATCCCAATCTAGTGATTGCACCGCACTGACTAAATTTTTGTCAACAATCGCGACGCCAGAGGCCCACTAAGACTAACTAACTCTCCGCTGTCTAAACAAGCAATTAACACGATTACTTTTTAGGGCCATCTAATGAAGCGTGTGCGCACCTTCTCTTCCCAGGTACATGGCCATCATGCGTCCGCTGCGGCCTCGCATGTCCCGGGCGACAACGCTGAACATCGCCATCTGGATCTGGGTTGCGAGCAGCCTGCTCTCGCTGCCCAACATCCTGTACTCGACCACCAAGGCCGAGGTGTTCGGCAACGGCGACTCCCGCGTCATCTGCTACATCTTCTGGCCCGACGGCGACGTCACCGAGAGTCACGACGAATACCTGTACGGGTCGCTTGGACTTCCTTACTTGAAAAGGCTACATCACACACTTGCGACTGTTTCTCACAACCGAGTATAGGCCCGTTCACACTCTTGCGACCTCTTAAACCTGGGTTCCTTAAAACTTCTTAAACCGGAGAACACAGTGGCGCCATCTATTGGGAAGCAGTGTAAACTCGGCGGTCCGGCATATTTTTTTATTTCTCGCGCATTATCCTTTCTTTCTTGGCTCGAAAAACTTTTGTCAATGTTATAAGCGAGCCTTTTTATTGGTATTACGCACATTTGACCTCGGAAATCCCGCAAAACCTTCGCTCTTGTGAAATGCAGTTCCAGGGTCACCGCATAGATGGCGCCACAATGCGAGAGTGTTCCGTCATTCTAAAAACATTTAAGAAGTTTTAAGAGATCTCGTCTCTCTCAGTCGTACTTGGTCGCAAGAGTGTGAACGGGCCTTATCATAAAACTTCTTATGATCTCTTACGCCGAGAGAACGCACTGGCGGCATCTATTGGGCCGGAACACTTGGCCGTTTGGTATATATAGGTTTTTCTTTCGCGCATCATTCTTTTCTTTTTTTTTTGCTTCAGAAACATTTGGGAATAAACCCGACCATTTCTTTTAAATAGCGCCTACATTTTATGTCGCAAATACCGTAAAACCTTCGTTCTTGTGAAATGCGCTTTCGGGTTTATTTCATAGATAGCACCAGCGTGCCAATGCTTTGTCTCGTCGTAATTTATCAAAAGAACTCGGTCGCAGGCAAGCGCAAATGTGTGAACCGCCCCCAGCGCCACGCAATATCCGCTTCCTTAAGCACTGCGGAAGATACGAGCTGTGTCGCCGGATGGTGGAAAATTGCCCATAGAATCGAATTTGAACGCGCGGAAAATCAGACGTATATTGCAAAACTATTTCTCGTATTACAGATGCGTTCAAATTAAACTTGCCTTTGCTTCTTACAGCTATAGGTTTGCATCGCAATATATGAGATTTCTCACGATTCGGGGACGCAAATACGAGGTTGATTTGACTTATTTTTAGTCCAAGAGAGCTTCCATCGCGCAGTACATCCAAAGTAGTTCCAATATGCACGGCCCTAAGATTAACTGGTCTGGAGACTGAGACCTTTTCGTCGCGTTATGGGAGAGCCGTTCCTAAGGACAAATTGAATTCGACGAATTGGAGCGTGCTGCTATAAGTAACAGAGATACAAAGAAGGCGACATAATTAAAGGACGAAGATAACGTTTTGTCCTGTCTTTGTCCTTTATGTCCCTTCGCTTTTATCCCAACTAAATGAAGCACCACAGGCATGTTGCCGTCGTTAGGGGTCAGCCAAAATGATTTGATCTGAGAATCTAACAAATAAACGTGGCTTCGTAGAAGCCACCACGGAGAAAGTTGCTGGAGGCATCTATATTAGAACACCCCGCGGACTCGTCGGAAGAAAGGGACGATTGAAAGCTCCTCTCTACCTGAGGCCTGTAGGGGTCATATTGCTTCGAAAAAATTGAAACGCAAGAGCGCTACATCTTCTTTAATAATATATATCAGGAATGGCCAGGCTGACCCGGCCGAAGAGCCGTAAGCAAAACCACAAAACTTCTAAGTGTCGCGTACCCCCCCCCCCCCCCCCCCCTTACGCCTTTGAAAGCATAAGAAAGCCGCTTGCGGGCGACAACTGTAAGCCGGTAAAAATAACAGTGAGCACAGAGCATGTTCCCGGTCTTTTATAAACTTCAACATAACATCGGTGACTAGTGGAAACTATGTATGAGTTCAACCCGGGCTTCCGCGACCTTCAAGAAGAAACGATATGGAGGGAACATCCGTTATCCGTTATCTAAAGAGGACAAGTATCACCGGCGAGTGACAAAGGACTTGTGGCAGAACATTGCCTCGACCCCAAGCCAAAGTGCATACATGGTTTGAGAGTCCCTGTCCTTGGTGCCCTTCCCCCTAGGGTCCTGCAAACCCCCTCGAACATTGAACGAAGCTCGATCTGTGGAAATATACGACTGAAAAACGGTTCGACTGTACGTATGGGGATACAAGGCTGCCAAACCGTAAGCTGTTCTTTATTCTGAAATCCTTTCCTTCATTCTAGGGGAAACGCGGAAAGGGGCAGAGGGGGATGGGGGGAGGGGGGGGGGGGGGGGTTCACTTTACGAGGAATCCGCGAGCCGGATTTAGACCAGCAAAGAGCCGCATGCGGCTCGCGAGCCGCGGTTTGGCCACCCCTGATATATATCAATGTTTCTATGTTTCTGATATATTTTTTAGCTTTTTTTCACATTGTCTTACTCCTACGGAAAAAAAAAGGGGGGGGAGGGGTCAGTGACACTTTGTTGGGTGGAAAATGCCGACGTTTACAGATCAGTAAGAGTTTATTTAACGGCCATGGTACGTGGTGCTGTCAAAACGAGAGCAGATAGCGTGCGCGTGTTACACCTTTCAAAACACGTAATTTTGTTTTCTAAACTGTTATTTCAAAAATAACAAAAAGAAAAAAAATGCATTCTTCACGATTGGGAGGCAACACGCAGCTCCGTTTTTCATCGTTATTTCCGTGGATTTGTTTCTAGCGCCGTTAGTAGCCACCACGTAACTTTCAAATCTAAGCATAATCCTCTTTCAACCAGACGTTTCCCTCGAAAAGTTTAGCACAAACAGCAACTCAACTACCAATCGACGGGGGAGGTTGGTATACAAGCAGACACCTACATTGCGAAAATCTTAAACTAAAGAAACGGAAACTATGCACTTTAGAGAAAGGTATGTTCTTCCGAAACGTTGCATTTGAGTTTCAAATGTTTGTATCTGTTGTCCACTTTCTTCATTCCTCAGTGTCTCCTGAGTCCTTTCCTCAATAGTTAAAGGTCCCCAGCACGCTTGTCTTTTCTCTGCTATTTCTATCCATTTACAAAAATTGTAATTCCTCTTTCTTTTTCTTCTTTTTTTTTTTGTTGTTGTTGTGGGACGCTGATTTAGGAAACGTCAGTATCAGTTTAACATCATCCTGACTAGACCTTGCTATAAGTATACGACTATTACTGGACGTAGACATTAATCCAATGGATTGACACCCACCTAGACTTTCGTTAAGCCCACGTTTTGCCGCGACGGCAATCGCCTTAAACCGGGATCAACGGGTCCACTACGAGTTTCAGCGGTTGTCTCACGCCACATCCGTCCCACGGGGTGCCATCACCACCCCCGAGTCTCAATTACGGAAGAGCCGGTTTACGCCCCAGGCTATAAAAGCTGAGCCCCTGGTTTAGCGCCAGACCAAAGTTGCTTGGTTTCGCCAGCCATTTTGCCACAATTGAAACTTCGCAGCGCAAGCTCAATAACGCATATGTTCCGTAGCTTATTCTCTTTTTCGCAACAGAGCATCAAAGGCTCAGTAACTTTCTTAATCGTAAAAGAAAACACGGGCGACGTAATAAAGTTAGATTAAATTGTCTTCGGGACTTCAGGAAAACCTCGAGCGAGCGCAGAAAATATCTCTGAGAGCCAAGAACAGGAAAAATTATTACCGTTCGATGAACTACGTGCACTTGCTTTAGCCCATACTACTTCCTCCCGTCGTAACTTTCTGGTTCCCTTCTGCAATAACTCGAGAAAGGAATTCCATTATCTTTCTTTACACCATAACGCCCATGGCATAGAGGAGCCGAGTTGTAAGAGGAAGTTAACAACATCCGGGATATTCATGAAGAACTCGAACATCAAATTGCCAACTGATTCTGGAAGGTTCTAAAACGGTCGCCGTCTCTCCTGATAGGCAAATTTTCTAGGTTGCAACCTTTTTTTTCTTCGCCCGTGCTATCTACAGACTACAGCTAGCGATTTAACTGATGAGAGAGATCTAAGTTGAGCTCATCAGAAACTAGCATCGTGGTTACATCTATGCCATCTATGTAAGTGTGGACGACCGTGATTTAGGAGATGTTGGTCTAACGACGTGGTAAGAGTGCTTCTATGAGTAGGCCATAAGTCTGACTTACTGCAGTAAGGTTTTATGCATATACGAGACAATGCATTGGTGTGCTTTTAGGCAACTTAAGCCGGGGTCCCACTGCTCATACATGGTAGAAAAGACAGTCTGCCAACACGACTCATCGCAATATCCGTGGTTCGAATGCCGCGGGCCTAGTTTCTCCTTGAACTCATTCCCATGCGGCATTTGAAGCACGGATCTCGCGGTGACTCGCATTCGAATCTGTATGCAGAATGTATTTTGTATGATCTATTTCTTTATTCTTTATTCAAAGATTACCCCGCATCGCCCGAAGGCGTTTTTGCAAGGAAATTACAATCTTGAAAAAAAACGAAAAAACATATCTTCATTTGTAGAACACGCTTGGTCTTCAGTCAACCTATTCTACTCTGCAACGGTTTTAACAAAAAAAAAAAAATTCGCATACGTGTTTGTCTTGGCGCGGTACTCTCGGATTTTGAGCACGTAATCAGTCCGCCTAGAAATATAATGTGGGTGTTTTAAATATATTTCTTTGTTAATACCGGTCTTATTATTATATAAAAAAAAAATAAAAAAAAAATTCAATCTCAACTTTTTTCGTCGGGAGGAAAGTAGTTCCCAATTCGATCCTTTTTCCTTTCTTTTCCTTTTTTTTCATTTTAGTTCAGCTCTCCCCCCGCCCATACCGATCCAGGACAAACCTAACATATCTCTTTTGAATTCTTTCCGATTTATCGATCAAAGTTTTTGCGAAGGGTCCCAGACGGCACAGGCATATTAAAACATTTGTCTGACACATGCTAAATACGCGGATTTCTTCAAATCAGGTTGTGAGCATTTCCAATTACTTTGAATAAAATTGAGCGCCCTGCCAGCTTTCACGATCACGTCATCAACAGGAGCGTTCCAAGAACAGTCGGATGATAGAGTGACACCCACATCGATTCGTTACTTAGTAACTTCCCATTTTTTTCTTTTTCTTCGTAAAGACAGGTGCACACACTTTTTTTTATTTATTTTAATTCATCTGCCACGTGAAGCACAACGTGTTTTCTACACGGCAACAATAAACTGCGCATCGCCGTGCGCTTACTCTCTGCCCAAATCTGGCGATAGCGGTGTTGGCACCAGCTGGCAAAGTTTGAGAGCCTGTCGTCGCCTAGTTCGAAACTTATAAGCGATTTTCGAACATCTTCAATGAGGAAACGGCCACCAACGAAGCCCGCAAATACGCGAAAATGATTGGCGAACGTGGTGCTCCCCGTAACGTGTTTTAAGTAATGGCGTTAGCGGTAACGTGTTACTTTTTTTGGTAACGTTGTAACGTACTCGTTACGTTTTCAAAACAGTGAGGTGGGACGTACTTACGTTCCTTATTTTGAGTAATGCGTAACGTAGTTACGTTACACGTTACATATTCTTTTCCAAACGTAAAAAAAAAATTTAAGCTTTAATTTTTTTGTGTGTTTTTAGGCGACAAGTTATGTGAATGTTTGCGTTTTTTGCGTTTATTTATCTGATTTTTTTGTGAGTATTTGGGCGGAACCGCAGAAAAGATAAGGTAATCATGTTTCGTTCTTGAGCGGAAATAATGTTTCTTGAAATTTGGGGCTTATACATACCTGTAACGCCAAAGAGTAAAACGTGTTAATTCATAGATAAATAAAAAGTAACGCAAAAGTAACGTGCGTTACTTTTTAACGGTAACGCATTTCCTTTTTATTAGGTAACGTAGGTGGGTAACGCGTTCCTTTTATTTGTAAGTGACGAGTAGCGTATTTTGTCGTTGTTGTTGTTTTTGGTAACGCTTACAATACGCTGGGCGAACGCTGCCGGAAACGCGCTCCAATTTCGGTTAGTCATTTCCGTAAATCGGTAATAACTTTTTTTTAAACTACACAACTGTAAGTTTTGAAACTTCGACGCCAAGGGCTCTATGAAGCCGTCAAACACGAAAGTGTAGCCGTAAGTTCGCTGGAGCTCACCGAATGTATTTCAGCAGCTAAAGCGTGGAGTCACCGCTGCGCGTGACCATCGGCAATCTCCGTAAACTTAGACACCAACATTTTTTTTTTTTTTTTTTTTTTTTATGATTGTTTGGTTTTTAGACTGTCAAGCACAAAGTTGGGGCCGAAGTTAGCAGAGCTCGCCGATTGGGCTCTCTCGACGATGACTTCGCGCTTTTGCCACCGACGTCCGATCGGCGCGATTTGTAAACTTCGGCTCCAATTTTGTACTTGACGAGTCTAGGACCCCTGGCCCCAACCACTAACGCTACAATTGGGCAGAGGCTGAGCGCACGAAAAGGCGTAATGTATTTTCGGCAAAAAAAAAAAAAAACAAAAAAAACACGGTTCTTTTTTCTTCCAGACACCGCTTATATTTAAAGCGGCTGTGCAACGATATTAGGTAGGAACGTCTCTCATTTTACAAAAGCTTACTGGCACTAGTGCGACCAAAGTATGCTTGCACGCAACACCACCGACCAAGAAGCTTCTTTGTCGCCGCGTAATTGCAAGAATAAAAGCGAACGTTTTCTTTCCGTCTCTCCTCCACGAACCTTGATGACGGAGTTTCGGGGATCGCATCGTTGTCGCTGTCAACAACGCGATCCTGAGGATTTATTCATCAATATTTGCGATCCCTGCGGTGGCGTTATTTAAGTCCGGTTCATACAGTGGACACCAGGGTCCCTAATCTGGACACTTAGCGAAGACGAATCAGTGAAAAATCCGGCGGCAGTGATTGGCCAATGCCACAGTTGACCTTGGCGCCGGCCAATCATTGCCGCCAGATTTCGCGCCGACTTTTTCGCCAAGTGTTCAAATTAGGGCACCAAGCGCGGTGCGAGCATTCGAGTTGGGCTTCTGACATTCGATGCCTCGACACGCATTCGGATAGTGGTTGTGCCCAATCGTTGCTACGCCGGAAATCGCCCAATCTTTGTGAGTAACGCGTACCTCCTGCTGCCAACCCCAGCGCGTGGCTATCAGAAACATTGGCGGCATACAATCGGCTCCGGATCACGTGGCCGCTTGTTCTGGTTACCAGTTGAGGCAGTTAACGCTACTTGTTTTCCTATATTTCTTTCCTCATCTCCCATTAAGTGAAGAAAAAAAAAGGAAGAAAAAAAAACTTACGAATCTTTTATGGGTTATGAATGTCAAGGAATATGCATAAGCGGTATTTACCAAAAGTACAAAAATCGCTGCACCGCCCCCTTAATCAGTCCGGTTATGTGCAACAACAACCCTGCAACCGGCCGGTTACTGTATAGGTTCCGCCTTGCGAAGTGCCCGTTTCCATTGTGTCGACGACGTCCCGTTGCAGGTACAACGTGGTGATCCTGATCGTGGCGTACATGATTCCGGTGACGTCGATGGCGTTCACCTACTTCCGCGTGGGACGCGAGCTTTGGGGAAGCCAGAGCATCGGCGAGTGCACCGCCAAGCAGATAGAGGCCATCAAGTCCAAGAGGAAGGTGAGTAATTCCTCCCCCGCGCCTCGCGCTCCGCTCTACTTCTCCGAAGGACCTCACCCCAGACTGCCGGGCTTCCTTGATTGTCGTAAGATAATAGAGAGTTTTAGTAGACCGTGTTTCCTCTCCGCTAGCCCTCCACTACGAAGAAACCGCCACTGCGCCTGCGCACCGATGGCCATGGCTGTAGAGTTCCGGGTAGCGGAGGGGCCTAGCGGAGCGGGAAATACGGTCTACTAAAACTCGCTAATAGCGAGTTTTAGTAGACCGTGTTTCCGCTAAGCCCCTCTGCTACCCGGAACTCAACAGCCAAGGCCATCGGCACGCAGGCGCAGTGGCGGTTTCTTCATTGCGGAGGGTTAGCAGAGGGGGAAACACGGTCTGCTAAAACTCCCTAATGAAAAGTTCGAGTACATCGTTCCGATAACGGCACGATGCACACGCAAAGGCGTCGGCGGGGTATCGGATATCAATATCGAAGTTAGCGGAACAATCTACTAAAACTCCCTAATTGCTTTCGCCCGTATGGGGTCCTCCGAAAATTGTAAATGTATAATGATACGTGATTTTTAATTAAAATTTCAAGGGTGTAAATCTTTTATCTCTGCTTGGAAATGCAATTGTTACATAATCTCAGGAGCCCTGTGTGAGTATTTGATTTAAGCCGCTTTCTATTCATCTTTTCAGAAGTTATTGTGCTCGTATCCTGATGAACGCTAAAAAGAGTATGCGTATTAGTTTAGACAAAAAATGTAACTGTAATATTGGCCAAAAAAAATGAATTTGCAGCAAACCTTTACGGTTTTCTTGCGTATGCATATGTGTGCGCCGCAAGAAGCAACAGAATATAAGCTAAACTAAACATCGCAATTGCACGTTAAAAAAATAGTGTTTTATTGGGTTGCTTTTGCACGCTCGATATCGTTCCGAGCCCGCGCTTGAATGCACAGCAGCCCGACCTTCCGATACGTATATCGTTCTGGTAAAGCACGATCTCTTGAAACTTCATTTTCTGCTCCCAAACGCTCGAAAACTACCCGGTCAGGCTAAGCGCCGGAGATCTTCAGATATCGAGAATTTCGATGCTCTCGGCCGGCGAATAGCCGGCGTGGGGTTAATGTAATTACCGCCAAACGCTTTTAATTCCCATACGCGGGCTGAGGAATGCAAATTAATTCCTCTAACATAATAGCTTCGACGCCTTCTTTTAGTCGGCGCCATCGGCCGAATTAAAAGTCAACCGCCGGAAGCAACAAATCTCTCCCACAAAACTTTAGTTCGATGAACTTCCCCAAACTTTTTCTTCGCCAACACATCGTAATCGCCTACAATTCGGGTCTCCGCAGCGGCTGGCAAAGACCAACAAGAGGAAGAAATAAAAAAATAAAAAATCGGCTAACAGTCGGCCCGCATCGTTCGGAGACCCATCCCACATCAAAGCAGCTCTGCGCCCGCAAACAATCGCGTATCACGCCGACGTACCTTCCCTCGAGATTGCGAACGGCCACAAAAAGAAGCCAATCGACGAAGCCGATATCCACGCCTGTCCTAATTCGCAGTGCTCCGAAGCAGGCAGGGAGACGTAGATACAACACTAAACATACATACTACATTCTGTTTCATCATTCGATGGACCACGAAGGACGCTAGAAGCTATCGGAGGCAACCTAATGCCGTGTGAATGTCCCGTAGCCTTCAGTAGGGATGCTGCGAGGCGCGGTAAACTTAGTCACGTGACGCAATTCAGCACTGGATTGGTTGGGGATGACTCGTAACGTTCCCTGCGGTTCATCGTAAGGTGAAAGGCAATATGGATTCGTCCCGCGGTGCTCGTAGTTCGTTTGGCTGTGGAGAATTTCTTTCATCCAAGTGGTCTCACTCTTGTCAGTGCGCTTGCGCAGTCTAGCCTTCCGCCAGACCAGACGCTCAGCACGTTCAACAGAAGCAAAAAGGGAAGAAGGGGGGGCGGTGTCTGTTGAAAACGGCGAGCGGCGCTGCTGGTAGCTCGTTGTTTCAGCACAATCAGCGAAAGTGAGGAAGCTGAGAACAGCGTAACGCTCCGTTTCCTCGTCCGTCGGCCGAGACCCCGCGACCGACGTTGCCGCCGAGATAAGGCCCACTATAGGGCCGACTCCCAAAGCACAAATGTGAAACAGCTCCGTAGTCTGTTGCCATTGCGCGGATGCTGCGTCGCGCCGATGTTACGCGAAAAAACAATCGCAGAAAGGCGCGCCTATTTTTTTCCTTTTTAATTCTTTGATGGCCTTGTTGGTTGTTTGATGCGAGCGTCTGTAAAGTACATTTTCGCCTTTGTTTCCTTCGTCGGCTTTCTCTTCTCGCTGTTTTGATAGAGGCCTCGACGGAAACAATGAGGTCTTTTTCTCGGTCGTAAAAACTCGGGATGTCTCTCTCTCTCTCTCTCTTTCTCTCCCATTCTTTCTCTTAATCTCTGCGGGACACAAAAACTTTTGAACTTCGCAAATGGAGAACGCTTTGTTGCTCAACGCTCGGAACAGTCCGAGTCTACCATTGCAGACGACATTGTTCCGCTCTTGGTCGTTGCACTTCTCAGAACGATTCCACTTTTTTTCTTTTTTTGTAGATTTCGTAGCTCGTTGTAGATTTTATACATCCTGGAAAATTTTGTTGTTGTTTTCTCGTTCTAGCATTGTCGCTTTTGTTCTCAGAGTTATACTCGAGTCTGCTGCACGCTCACTAAGTTGAGTTACTTGTTGGGTCTAAAAGGCCGTCTAGACGAACTTGTCGCGTCGTTCTTTTTCGGCCTGAACTAAATGCAGCGCCTTTTTAGGCGACGCTCGACTTGATATTCATTCCCTGTAGTCGCCGTGTGACAGACTGCACCCCATGAAGAATTGATATCCATGTTTGATTTTGACATTCAAGAATGTTGTATCGTAGAATGCTTTAGAACTCGTTTCAAACTTTTTTTGAATAGTGTAGGTCTTATCAAACTTAAATGCCACTGGAAAAAACAAAAACAAATTTGTTTCTTGAAACTGTAAGCCACATTATGTTCTTCCTCTCCTATGACGGCCCTGTTCGAATAATGTGAATAAATGAATAAATAAAGAAGAATGAATGGGATTGAATAAGTGATGTTTCATCTATTTTATACGTATGTACAGCACATATGTAAATTTAGGAAACACAACCTTTTAAACCGCTCAAGGGTCCTTCTGTTTTCTTGTCTTTTCTTGCGCACGGCGCCTGTCGCTTAATTTTAGATAGTTCCCGAGGGTGTCTTATGGTTCCTCCCGGGAAACGCTTCGACTTACTAAGAACCTTGCAAAGGAGCGTTTTTGAGTGTTCTGCTCCGGTATTACTTTGTTGAACTTGTCAGTCCTGAAAGAAAAAAAAAAAGAGGGGGGGGGGGGCAATTTATTTTTAATTCCGTTCGGGTATGGCCAGAGTGCCCGCGAGGCCAAAGCAGACTCGAGCCAAGCAAGCCTCGTGTATTCTCAGAGTAAGCTAGTTTGCGCACAGTCCGGAAATACACCGCTCTTGTTTTGGAAGATTTGTGTTTGAGCCCGGTCAACAAATATTTTTCACGCAAGGTGATAACAATAAAAAAGAATTGAAAAGTTCAGTAATATGGTTAGGGCCCTCAGGAAACGAACTGCTCGACTTTTCCATTCGACGGTGACAGCTATAGCTAAAAACGTTTTCGAACTTCACCTTTTCTTTGTGTTGCCCACGTTGAGGTCATAGCAAGGAATTTTCGTTTCTTTTTTTTCTTATTGTCTTTTTAAGATAAAATTGTTGAGTGTAAAGATTACCTGAAATGAATCGTGCATTTCTTTTGTTTCTCTGTGTGTGTGTGCGCGTGCGTGCGCGTGCGTGCCTATGGATAGTTGAGGAGAAAAGAGCTTTAAGGCATATTTTTAATATTCTGAAATTAAAATAAAATCTGGATAATGTGGGTTTTATTTCATCTCCTTCAGTGGATTCAATTTTAGCAACCCATACAATAAAACAATACTGAGTGTACGTTTATTTGTACCGAGAAAAAAAGTTTATTTTAAACGCTTTTACGACATATATATACCTTCCTAAATATTCCCCCGGGCACAGTATAGTCCCCACAAAAGTGAAAACGTGAGGGCGTGTCTTTCGAAGGCCCGGCCTTCAGCACGCGCTCCGTGCCTTCCGCCGTGCTTCGGCTGCGCGCCCGCGGGCTCGAGTCTCACCATACGCCGAAGCAATGTCGAAGGTAAGAAGCTCGGGCGCTGGGGCTATGACAATGGAAGCTCCTCCCTCCCGCTCTCACCTCGCGAATAACTCTATGGCACTGCCCCAGTTGTTCTTTCGTGGAGCGTATGGCGTGTGCATAAAAAAGTTCGGCCAATCTTTTGAGAAACAGCCGGTATAAGAAGGACCAATCTGAAAGGATTCTCTATACAGATAAACCATTCGATGGACGTATATAAGCCGCGCTCACACTGATAATACATCATACAAAGAAAAACTGTCCGCAGACATGAGGCTCCAAACATACTTGACGCGTGTACGCGGACAACTTCGCCAACATGTCTGGAGCGAACATCGCGTCTTTTGCACGATGTCTGAGCAATGTGACTCTCCGGCTTCGCCCCCGGTTGAAAATCTCGAAACGAAATCTCGCTGCCTTGAATTGAGAGCGGGAACCCCCGCATCGGAATATTGAATCTTCCACAAATTTCGTGCTTACCGAACGGACCATGTGCACCCCCCTCCATGTTCTCCGGTCAGCAAACGCCCTGCCGGTGAACCGTTGGACGCGGCTAGAATGCGTTGGACTTAGAGTGCGGCCTCTGCGAGTCTTCGCGACATCTTGCTCAATGTCCCGTGATCTTATTTCCGAGTCGTTTAGCAGCCGCAGCAACAGCAGCAGCTGTTGGTGTTGTCGCCCTGGTTCCCGGCTCGCGCAAGTCCAGCTTTCTCGGACCTGGGGCGTGACCGTCCTTCCTAAGTATATAGCTTCCCGAGATCCGCCGTGGTGGCGG